GACCTCTAGTCACCTGGCGGGGTAACATTTTTTTTAGGGCCCCCACGCACCGCTCAGGGGTGGGGGCCAGGGGGGGAGGACATTAGGTCCCCTCCCTTATTAGTATTAAGGGCACCCACCCACTGCTCAGGGGTGGGGGCCCGAGGGGAGGACATTAGGTCCCCCCCTTATTAGTATTTAGGGCCGGGGGGGGCAATAGGTTCGCCCCTTCAGGTTAGAAGCCCCCACTCGCGCGGCACGGGTGGGGGCTCGGGAGGGGGGCCATAGGCTGCTCACTGTTTAATAGACATGCCCCTACTCGTGGTATAGCGAGTAGGGGCATATATTACTAATACTAAGTAATCTTTACTTAGTAAATTTGGCTGAAAGACCAATTTAGGTCTTTCAGCCTTTTAGTAGATAGCTCCCTAATACCGTGGGAATTAGGGAGTTATCAACTTATTCATTCCTGACATTACATTGACTGGCTAAGAAACTTCCATTTTTTATGAATGTATGTTACTTGATTGTTGTAAGTGTTGCAAATGCTTACAGCTGAATCCTGGCTATGTTTGTATACTTTTTATTTAAAATTGTATACAGTGTAACATTGTTCATTCTTCCACTGGGTAAGTATATTAGTTCTTAGGCAATACTGTGCTTCGGAACTTCGACACTTCGGAACTTCAGAACTTCGGCACTTCAACACTTTGGAAATTCGGTAATTTCGGAACTTCGACAATTCGGTAATTAATCTATTCGGACATTCGGAACTACCCCAATGTCCAAATTGCCCGAAATTTGTCCGAATTCACATTCGGACCGAAACTAATTGCACATGTCTACTCTCAACCCATGTTGCTGTTATGAACCAACACCATGACTCTTCTCTACTATTCCTTGATCAATTTTCTGCTTGACTTTTTATTCTCTCCTCTGACATACCTACCTGTCACATCCTGTTCCTCACTGTGGATCATTCTGGCATTGGCTTCTGGTATTCAGTACTTTTCTTGCTGTCCTTGCTTGGTTTTTCTGGTTTTCTGGTCTATGTCTGGTTTTCTTTGTTGCTGGGTTTCTGGGTTCATTCTTATATTCCGTCCCTGGATTTCCCAGTCTCTTGGATTTACTTAAATATTTGTTTTATGTTGCCACACCCGTTTGTTTTCCACTTTCCTTTTGTTTCAGCTTGGACCTGCAGCAGTGTTTCAAGTCTCTGCCCTTTCTTGTAGGTAAGTGCTATTGTGGTTTAGTGTGGTTGTTTTAGCATACATTAGGCAGTGTAGGACCTGCCAGATATGGGGTACATTGGCGTTGTTGGCAGGCTTATGCAATGTATGATCATATAATGTGACTAAATCCCCATACTTTTCATATATAGTGCTTAGTTATGTCTCCTCTTGTTTTGCCTTGTATTTCTTGTCTTATTTTATTTTGTCTTGTATTCCCAGTCCATGTACAGTCCTGTCCAGTCATGCCTATGTTATGTTCTTGTTTTCCTCATGTCTTGTGTACATGTTCAGGATTCTGCTTTCTGTCCTGTTCTGGGTTCTCCTAGTTTTGTCTTGTTTTCATGCATGGTGCCTATCTCTAGTCTTGCCCTGTTCTCCTAGTTTTGTCTTGTTTTCATGTATGGTGCCTATCTCTAGTCTTGCCCTGTTCTCCTAGTTTTGTCTTGTTTTCATGTATGGTGCCTATCTCTAGTCTTGCCCTGTTCTCCTAGTTTTGTCTTGTTTTCATGTATGGTGCCTATCTCTAGTCTTGCCTTGCTTCAGTACTAGATATATCCCTGCTGCAGAGCCTCCCTATTCAACTCCTGGGAGGTCTGCTTAATTCCAAACTCCTAGTTCCTGGGATCCGCATAAGCTGAATCAGGGTTCTGGTATGTGGCTGCACAAATGCTGGTGCTCAACACCAGGGGGCGTGCGGTTAGCCTGCACCAGACCCTGCTAATCCACCTCCACACTGTGACTCCTACTCTGAACATCAGGCATTCTGGGTCCCAGGCACCGGACCACCACCCTGACACTACCCTCATCTAATGAAAGTTGAATCCAGGTTTAATCCCATCAATAGGTATTAAATTACTATTCTAAATTTAAAAGATAAAACAAAACACAAATACTGTTCTCGATATATCCTGATCTCTGGCAATTTTCAGGAATGGAATCCAGAAAAATTGATAAAACAAAAGCAAATAGCCCTACATGTTTCGACTATTACGCACGGACTTTCTCAGGGGTGAATAATCACAAATAAAATGCTTTAACAAGTTGTGTTGATCTTTCTCTTTTTCTTCAAACCCTCCACAACCATGGACTCTGTGACACTGTACTAACCTGGTTTTTATCCTATTTCTGAATGCAAATTTTTCTATTCCTCAGCAAATTTCCTCTTTATTCAACAAATACCCCCCCATTCTCATTTACTTAAATCTGCAAGCTCATTTTCACACTACCAACTATTATTTGCAGGATTTTTTAATGGCTGCCCCGTTTCTATTGAATTCCCTACTCTGTGCCGTTGGTCTCTTTTCTAGCCTAGAGTCCTTCCCAGAAATCACTAAAAGAATACACCTTTTTAGGAAATACTGCCATTGTTTTCTGTGCAATCCTCCTCTCATAGCCCCGTTCTCTCTATCCTTCCATTCGGGTCTTCCACACACCATTTTGACTAGCTTATTTCAACACAGGTATCTTATTCATCAATCCCTCCAACCCTCTGACATGCTATTATTACTCTTTTGTGTTTATACCTCTTCCTCATAGATTTTAAGATCTTTTGAACAGTGCCTTCTTCACCTCTCATCTATTAATATTTTGTATGCCAATTACTTTTGTCAAATTATCCCCATTCTATTATCGTAAATCAACGAAGAATATCTTGATGCTACATAAATAACTATAAAGTTAAGCGAATTTGGTACATTATATGGATATACACTAACCAGCCACAGCATTAAAACCACCTGCCAAAAATTGTGTAGGTCCCTCGCATGCTGCCAAAACAGCTCTGATGCTTCGAATCATGGATTTCACAAGACTTCTGAATCTGTCCTGTGGTATCTGGCAGCAGATCCTTTTAGTCCTACAAGTTGCGAGCTGGGGCCTCCATTGGTCAGATTTGTTGTCACAGCACATTCCACATATGCTCAACTAGATTGAGATCTGGGGAATTTGGAGACCAAATTTCCACCTCAAACTCTTTGTCATGTTAATGACCATTCCTGAGCATTATTTACAGGCAGGGTGCATTATCCAGTTGAAAGAGGCCACTGCCATCAGGCAACATCATTCCCATGAAGTACATGTATGGTCTGCAACAATCTCTAGGTATTTAGTACGTGCCAAAATAACATCCACATGAATAACAGGACCCAAGAACATTGCCCAGAGCATAACACTGCTTCTGCCTTCTACCCATAGTGCATCCTGCTGCCTTGTCTTCCCCAGGTAAACTATGCACACTGACCAAGCCATCCACCTGATCTAAAACATCAGACAACTGTCTTCCATTCCTCATGCTCATGTCCCCACTGAAGGAGCTTATGACGGTGGGCAGTGATCACCATAGGAACTGTGATGGGTCTGCAGCTACACACCCCACAAAGCTTGCTGTTTTGTAGATGCTCTGACCCAGTCATCACTATTTGGTTCTTTTCAAAATCACTCAGATCTTTTTGCTGTCCCATTGTTCCTGCTTCCAACACATGAAATTCAAGAACTGACTATTCACTTGCTGCCCAATATATATGACATCAGTTGACAGGTCATTGTCAACAATATAATCAATGTTATTCACTTCACCTGTCACTAGCTTTAATGTTGTAACTGATCAGTGTATAACATAAGTATATATACAGGTATATATATAAAGATCAACAAGAAGGAAGGCTGCTCTCGGGACTTTAAAATAAAAAAGTTTATTCAAATAATATTAAAAAACCACGACCAACGTTTCGGTCCCCGTTCGGGACCTTCTTCAGGGTCAAAAATAGGACAACAAGACAATATATATAATCTTCTTTAATAGAGTGCATTCAGAAGAATTTTTCAATCAATACTGCTTTTTTGTTCAGTTTGTGCAAAGGAAGTCGACATTTCAGTCCTAACTGGACTTTTCTCAAGAGGAGTTCTATATTCAAAAAATGCGCTTATATAGGTATGTATGAACTAATAAACCAGAGGGTGGGTGTGATGAAAGAAAGGCTAATGATATCATTAAGGATGTAAGCACATATCAAATATCACTTATTTAAATCATGAGGTGTAGGACCATGAGTTCTATAGCACACACCAAATGTGATAAGAAGTAACACAGAAAATTATGATATATGTGTGATTGACATATACAAAGTACTGTATACAACTATTTACAAAAAAAGCATACAGTATTACTGTGAGACAGGGCTGCCATCAGAAATTTTGGGGCCCCTGACAGAGCTCAAGGTCTGGGCCCACCGGTGCCTGCACCCGAGTCCGTCCCCGTCCCCCCCTCCTGAGTCCGCCCACAGGGATGCAGTGTCTGCAGGGCCGGTGCAAGGATTTTTGCCGCCCTAGGCAAAAGTAAAGTTTGCCGCCCCCCATGTGACATCACAATGACCCACCCATATGATCTGCCATGTTAACTAACACCAGTGCTGCAGTGCCGCCGTGTTTACATTAAAAGGCCTGCAGGGACAGGCTAGACACCAGAACCACTACATTAAGCTGCAGTGGTTCTGGGGACTATAGTGTCCCTTTAATATGAGGTAAATTAGAGATTAGTGCCACGAATAATATACTAGATTGCCTACTTACAACCAGATGAGGATGATGATGGGCTCTAGCTGCCGTCTGGTTCCACTGGTCTGGTGTAGAACAGGCTCTCTGGAGGCGGTTTGTAACTGTAGTCACAAAAATCAATGTTCTGGGAGAACGGGAAGCAGCTCCATTTTTTTGAGGGCCCTTTACACAGCTCAAGGTCTGGGTCCCAGGGTCCACCTTCATGTTCCACCAATGAGTTTGTTCACAGGGGTGTGTGTGTGTGTGGGGGGGATGTCCTGATATGTGTGTAAGGAATGCATTGTGTGAATCTGTGTTTGTATGTGTAAGGGCTGCAAGGTGAGTTTGTGTATGTATGGGATGCAGTGTGTGCGTCTGTAAGGGATGCATTGAGTGTGTGTAAGGGGTGCATTGTGTGTTGCTGTGTGTAAGGGATGCATTGCTTGTGTATGTGTGTCTGTGTGTAATGCATTGTGTGTTTTTCTGTGTGCAAGGGGTGCATTGTGTGTGTGTGTGTGTGTATGTGTGTGTGTGATGGATGTCAATCTCTCCCCCTACCCCCGTCAATTTCCTTCTCCCCTCCCCTCCTCCAATTTCCTTCTTCTCCCCCTCCCTCTCATTGCCTTCTCCCCCCCTCCCTCTCATTTCCTTCTTCTCCCCCCCTCAAATTTCCTTCCTCCCTCCCCCCCTCAAATTTCCTTCCTCTCCCCCCTCCC